ATTAGATTCATCAAAAATAATCTTGACTTTGAAAAACTCTTATAAAGTCATTATAAGCTAAAATTTTCGAAAATTAATACTTAAAAAAATCCTATATATTCTTTTTTCAAATTTCTTTCTTTGATTTGAAAAAAACAAATCCTAGAGTCGTTGTAAATACATAGTTTTGTACCTTGCAATCTAATTTTGATCCTAGTTGGCAACCAATCCTTTCTGAATATCAATTCTTATTTTTTTGAGGTAATTTTTACTAAAAGCAACTCCTAATTTTTTTATATATATCTATATCCTTTAATTTTTTAATCTATCTTATTTTGCTTTATTTATGGTCCTACAAAATAAATAGAAGCATACTTTGTAAAAAGGCAATATTTATACTTTTAATTTTATTACCTTTTGACTTTTATTTATATTTCTAAGATAATTTTTTTCAATATATTTGAAATAAGATCTTTTATAATAAAATATTTTCTTTGCTATTTTATCTATAAATTATATTATACCACAATAATAAATTAAATATATTATATTACCTTTTACTCATGCATATAAAAATATGGTACTATTAAAAGGTTGTGCTTTTGTAGCTACTTATCTAATTATTATTTGTTCATCCACACCTATTAAAACTAGTCAAAAAATAAGGTATTGTCTATTAAGATTGCATACAATTAATTTTACTACCTTGTATGTTGATACTAAGATAAAAGAACTCAAGTACTACTGCCATTGCTGAATGATAATCAATGCCAAATGAGAATTAAATCTAATATTATACTTTGCATGTAATAGTCAACACTAGAATATTGCAATGCCAATTATTCTATGATTTATTTGTACCAAATTCATGATGCAAACTCCAGCTTTACATGAATCTTTTTGTTCCAATCATGTTGCGGTTGTCAAAGCAACAAGGTTGTATCTTAAACAACTAGTGACTTTTGTCACTGCAAGATATTATAGTAGTGGAATAACTTTTTAATTGTCACTAACAACTTTTTCTATTGATTGCAAATTCTTTATCTAACTATTTTGTTTTTTAGTATTAAGTGATCTTATTAATGGATTGTCTTTTTGTTATGATTTTTTTAATATAATATTGTGATTTTGATTTATTTATTTTATTTTTCTTGCTAATGGTACTGATGTAGATTGTAAAAGTTTTCTATTTTTCCACTTTTTCTTGCATGTTGTTTGTATTGTGGCATGTGGTAGTGTTATAAAATCTTGTTGCTAATTTGTACTACATAGTGGCGTCTAACAAATTTGATATAACCTATTATAATAGATGGTAGTATTGTCAATGGATTTTTCATTACAATTGTTCTTGAGCATGATTGTATCATATTTAGTGTGGTCGTTCCTACAGGCTTCTCCCATTCCTATGTCATGATGTTGACTTGATAATTAAAGTTGATATAGTTATATTGTGGAAGTGATTGTAATGGCATTGATAGAGCCTTGATTAAGATTGTGATAGTCATTCGAATAACAAAGTTCTCTACAATGATAATATCATTCAATGTTATTTTTTCTTTGACATAAACAATGTCACCTTAGCTTTGATCTACAATGTAAGGAAGGTCTTATGGCACCTTATTACAGACTTGGATTTGGTATATTATGATAGTCCTTTGCAAAGGATTATAATATTGAAGAACTCTCCTACATCGATTTTCTTATGATAGTGGTGTATAATGGTAGTATACAATTATAAGATCAAATGATGGATCCTAGTTCTTTATGTAGCAATCTGAAATTGTGTGACTCTTGCAGTGTTGTGTGAAGCAATGCTTGTTATAAGTAAAATAACAAGTGGAAGATACATTATTAAACTGGTGGTTAGTATCATTCTTTAGTCTTTTTTAATTGCTATCAAACAAAAACAATGGTATCTATTATCAATTTTATCAAGGTGCAAGGATTGACTTATTGATCACTTAAATCTAGTGAAGAAAAAACTAGTTGTGAGCTCTATAGTTAATGTGCTAAGAAATAAACTAAGCCTAATTACAATTTGAATAGCAAGAAATAAAAATTTACTCACATATAAAGGTCATTGATGATTTAGACTTATACATAGAATACTAGATCATTATTTTTTTTGATTATATTGCCTTGCAATTCTAGCCTTGCACTTAATATTGAGATTGTACATTGATAAGTATCAATAATAGGTAGTTGACTAGTTAGGAAATTAGATTATTATACTCTACTTTAGAGAATTATAATTTTGAATAGATAGGTAGCAAAAACAAGGAACAAAAGAATTCCAAATTGTGTCAAAAAGAAACTTGCTTAAGTCCAATACTAGATGAGAAGAAGTGCACAAAAACTACTATTTTCAATATCCTCAAACTCCTTAGATATAAGAAGGTCAAGGCTACATCCAAAATTAGACAAAATTTTCAAAGTGATATCATTGAAATTTCTATTTGAATAAAAATTACATTTGGATGAAATTATTTGGTAAATTAGATCCATGTAGATAAAATTAGGTTATAGTTAGATAAACCTTATTAAATAAATAATAATTTAGATAAGATTTTATTCTTAGATAAAAATTTATTTATAATTAATAATTTATTTTTGAATGATATTTTATTAATAAATAAATTATATTAATATATATGTATATATTTATAAAATAATATTAATAAAAAAATAAAAATATTAATTATTCATGAATTTTTAGTATGACTTATATTACAAGTATAAACTATAGTGATGGTTTTTTATAGATTAAAAAAGTTAATTTAAAAAGTTAGAAAGTAATTAAATTAAGATTTAAACAATGGATAAAATTCATAAGATTATGTAAATAAATAAATTGTTATAAGTTACAATAACCTTCAAACTAATGAAGGTTATTTTAACTCAAAAAACATAATAGTTCTTACTAGAGATTTTGAATGACATGTAAAACTCTTAACCAAATTCTCATAATTGTATATTTTGAGTTCATTTTATAGTTGCATCATTTCTTTAGGAAATTTTGAATAATGTGCTAAGATTTTTATAATATAAGAACAATCTTATTTAACAACAAAAAATCTTTTTTTTTTCTCAATAAGACGTTTAAAACATATTGCATCAATTTTTATGTCTTCTACTTCTAAATATATGTGTTAAAAAGATAATAATATTACCATTGATTTGTAAAAAAATTGATGTATACTTGTGCAACTTTCAAATCAAAATTCAAAAAGCCAATTGTCACATTTCATAGCAAAATCAATTGTTTTATTTAATGTTTGAAGGTCACATAACTTTAGAATCAATTTCTTTATTTCATATTATAATCAATAGAAAAATTGACTGATAAGAGCAATATCACTCCACTTAATATCAATTATAAGTTGTTAAAATTATAAAGTATATAATATCATCAATTTATTACTTTGTTATAAAATATAAATTTCATTAGTTGCAACGTAAATTGCATTATGTTCTTTAAGAATGTAAATAAATAAGTGAGATATTTTTCAAAGATAGATGACAAAAAAAGAATAAGTAAATATGTATATTCAAGTAAAAATTGGAATGACTATTGCCAAAGACTAAGATACAAGAAACTCTTGAAATTAGACTAAAAGTAAAAAATGAGTTGATAAGAATGAAAAAGGCCTCATTCTTGCTTTTATATATATTATCTAATTAGAAGCTATGTAACAACATTCTATATGATCTCCAACACATGTCCAGCTTGTAAGACACGTCTCTAACTTGTAAAATAAGCTTTCTATACGTGTGCCACATATCTAATTTGTACTATAAGTAGTCAACATGTCCGACATATAGCCAATTTTTTGGTCAAGTTTTCAACCTACCAATCACCTATAGAAACATAAAAGGCAAAGTTGCATCTATGAAGCTTATCCACAAGATATTATCAAATTTATTTATTTTTATCTACTTCTATCTACTCATATTATTTAGATAATTATTAGAGTTTATATGAATGTTTGTGACACTTTGTCTATATTGGACTTAAAAATAAGAATTTACATTAATTTATGCTTCTTAAAAAAGTTTATTTTTTAAAAATACAACAAGTATTATATTTATCAAGAATAAACAATACATGTGTATTGTTGCAGACATGGCTTAACATCTATTGGATTGTTCACAACTCATGTTTGTTGCAAAGCCATATTCTCTTATAAGCTTCAACTTAAACTCTGGACATTCTTTTTTGAAGGACATGCGTGTATGCAAATATAATAGATGTAAAGGTTGTATGTGCATTCAAAATCTTTGTAAAACTTTAACAATATAGATCATATTTTTTTTACTTTATTCTTCACATATTATAAGCATTGATTAGAGTGGAATTCATATATATATATATATATATATATATTACAGATACTACTACTTTTACATAAAAAAAATTACAGAAAATAATTTGATCAAAGCTATTCTAACATGTCTTTTCTTCTTGAATTTATAGGTAGTAGTCATATGTAGAAAATAGGTATTTGCACATGTAAAAGTTTTAGAGTACAATCTAAGCATTGGAGCTTGATTTCATACATTACAGATTTGAACATCTAATGTTTAACAAATTAATGTGATATGAACTAGGTGCAATTTGAAATTCATCACTGCAGAGGATTTATATGGACTTGTCAAGTATCTTCAAAAGTTGAAACATTTTGCCACCAAGATCAAAGTTAAAAACCCATCACATTAACAAAGGTAGTAAAATTTTCAACAGTGTGGAAACATTTCAACAAAATCAACAAATTGTTAGAAAGACATTGTTTGTGGTATGGTCTCACAGTGCAGTCCAATGGTTCTTATAGAATAAGATGATTGTATTAAAATTTGGTCATAAACTACGATTAAATAACCAGTGCAAATCCACTTTGCAAGCAATATGAGTGTAATCGGGCGGCATCCTATGATACCTATTACCAGAACTCGCTGGTTTGCATGCAGAAAGCTCTTCTGAACTATATCACAGATCACCACCATGTCTCAAAAGCACAAAAATAAAAATAAAACAAAAACAAAAAGTATAAACCAGGTTCTTTGTGCCTGCACCAAGGAGCTCTATGCAGCTTAGAGAAGGCCGTTTGAAAGGATTACCTTTCAGAATACAAAAGCGTTTTGCTTACCAGTTAGGATAATTAAATGTCTCATATATTGGCTAATATATAAACTAGGAAGCATTAGAGTCGGTGCCTGTGGATGCAAAAAATGTAAGTGGTTCTCTTTACCTCTATTCCTATCACTTAAAAACACGTAACGTCAGTTGTAGAGCTTTCAAAGTCATCCCGGTTCGAGGTTGAGAAAGATTTGCTGAAATTTGACAACAGTTTATGCTGCAATACTGGTCGCCGGAATGTTGTGAAGGATCGCTCTGGCTGCCGAAATTCGTGGTTGACCATTCCCTGACTAGGAGGATCGGAGCCCTCGCTGTTGTAGTAGCACTGCATCAAATCAGTGCCAGTCTCTTCAAGCCCACATCAGCTCTCTGGACAGTCAACGTCCTGCACACCGCGATAAGCACCGAAGTACATCACTTACGTTGTTTCCATACCATCTGTCATCGGCACTAACTCCAGGATCCTCCCAAATGCAATAACTTCATGCAACAGATAATTGTTCCTCAACTTACAGGGCGCAAAGAACCCAACGAACAACGAACAGAACCATGTTTTTCTTGACGTGGGGGCACACTATCATGAAAAATACTTCGTGCGCGCGCCTGAGCTCATCAGATCCGCCGGCGTTCAAAACTGGTACGTCATCCTTACATTCAGTCATGGTGAGAACGTCTTTTAGTGCACCAATGTCCTACACAACGTCGCACTGCTCTCCTCAACGCACCTGCCACCTCGTATTGCTCCATGAATTCGGCTCAAATCGAGGGCGTTTGTCATACCGACGCGTGAACGTTTAAGTTTTTGTGTACTTGGTGTTTGTAGTTTCCTCTGGAGCTGGATGAGAACCCTTCCATCCACTTCATTTTAGGAGGTTGAATCACCCAGCATCAGATAACATCTTTCAAGTGACGGCTCCCTCGCTACATCCACGCCTTCTCGCCAACCTCGCTTTCGCTCCACGCCTACATGAGCCCTTCACGCTCCACAGGAGCGCTCCGTGAGAGAAAAAAAAAAAAAAAAAAAAAAAAAAAAAATGTTGGGTAAACTCAATCGCACACATGGTCTACTCCCGCATGAGACTCACAGCCACACTCACGGCCACTTCGTAGGAATACTCGTAGTCTACCACACAATACTTGAAAGATTCATCCTTTTTCGTATGTTTCGGTGTTGTTTCCTCACATTGTCCCAGGCATTGGTTTCCACAAACACAGAAAAGGACTCTTTTGACATGCGCAGAATATCTCATGACGTGCTCGACCGCCCCACTGATAGGCAAACTTGTCGCATTATCACTCTGTAGTAGAATATCCGTCCCCACAGTGACGCTTTGCACGAGTCAAGCTCCCGTTGCCAGGTCTGTGTAACCGCGTTGCTATTCTGCACCACAGATCGATCCACTGGTATGGATCTTTGCAGCGCGAGTCATATCTCTAGACATCCGGCAGCAGACCAGAGGAGTGACGTCCAATCTGAGCTTCCCATGCTGCGCATTGAGACCAGTGCGGGGGGCGGCGATGCCTGCCTCCGAGAAATCCATCAGCGTTGTGTAGCAAACCAAGCATTTCAACAACGAAATGTGCCGAAGTTGTGCTTCCATAGCGCAATGCAGTGATGGTCATGCCTGAGGTGGCGCCTTTAGGGGTCGGTGATTGGCTTACTTGGCATTGCCGACCCTCCAGATATTGTTGGAACCAACTGAAGGGGGCCACATGGGTTTTCTTCATAGTAGGTATTGAGGGTAAAATAATAATTCTCGAAGCAACCTGGGGAAAGAAAAAACTAAAAAAAAAACAAAACAGAAACAAACAAACAAAACAAACAATATAATACTCACTTGTTTCTTCTTGAGATATGAACATATTTCTCACTTTTCTTTTTCTTTAGAACTACTCATGCCTTGAATGTAGGTAGAAGAGAGCTTGGACAATATAATTTAGGTTGTTGGTTTGTATGCTCATTTTACTTATATAAAATTGACAAATAATAATAAATTAAAAAGGGTGCTAACTTTGGTTTTTATGTTTATTAAAAAGATATTACATTCTAAATAATCACCAAAGTTAAAAGGTACAAAACTAGAGAAGATGGCACAAAAAGAATAAATACCTTGTCTTCTAGATCTTTGATCTAAACTTTGGCTCTTCCAAAATCTAAACATCTTCTTTTGGATCTTTGATCTAAACTTTGGTACTAAAGGCTTATTCTAATCTAAAACCTAGATATTTCCTTATAAGGTCTTTGGTTTCGATTTTGATAATATAAGTATTTGTTGATCTAAAGTCCATACTACAAATTTGGATCTTTAATTAGATATCATATTAATGAAAGATCTATTATTTTTATAGATGTTATCAAAGAATGACTTGATTGTTATTTTTTTATAATAATATTTATACAAGTTACAAATTGTGTTATTTTTGTTAAACAATCTACTATTAAAATACAATTATAAGAATTTAAAGTTAAAAGATTCATATAAGATATTACTAAAATTATTATTGATGTTATTTTAAAACTTATAATAATAATGAATAGTATGTTTTTTAGATCAAATAATATATATATATATATATATATATATATTATAATAATAATTTGATATATAATAACTATAAAAAATCTATAAATATAAGCCATAAATTTTTATTATATTTAATGATATATAAGTAATAATAAATATGAAATGTGAAGTATATATACTTATATTTGACTATTTAATATAAACATAAATATCCTCTAAAATAGAGTAGTTTTTTTAAAATTAAAATTATTTCAATCATAATCAATTCATTTTTTTATTTTGAACTAAATTTCTTTTTGATTTTTAAATATTTTATTTTATTTTAAAATATTTTAATAGAAGTTATTAATCTTATTTTAAAACAAAAATTGTATTGGCATATTGATTATAAGTTATAAATCTTTTTTTAGAGTAAAATAAGATTATTAAAATAAGACATCTAATATATTTTTTAAAAAATATAAATTATATATTATTAAATATAAATTATAATAATTATATTTTTTTAATATTCTTAATAGAAATTTAAAACATATATTGACATAAAATACTTAAATTTATTGTATTTAGTGTGAGTTATAAGTATTGTAAAAAATAATAATGAAAATTAAGTCTATAAGATGTTTAATTTATTAAAAGTTTATATATTCTTGATTACAGGAAATATAAAATAAAATACATAAAAATAATTAAACATTCAATAACATCAAATACTATTGTATTATGATAACCATATAAAATCACTTTCATACAAAATACTTCTTAAATAATTTATTTAGAAGGTAAAAATAATACTAATAATAAAAATAGTAATACATATATGTATATATAATTTTTTTGTTATATATATTTTATTTGTAGTTAGTATTTTTTTTAAAACAAATAAGTTGAAGATCCAAAATTTAATGAAGAAAAGTTAGAAAATACATTATTTTTAAGTCTAAAAGAAATTTATTCTATAAAATAAAATAGTGATAATAATAATAATAATAATAATAATAATAATAATCATAAATAATTAAAAAGAATATGTTTTACAATTTAGTATTAGATACGAATTCATATTTTTATAACTAAGCAAAAAAATTCTAATCAATTGTCTTTTCTATTTTATTTTTTTATTTTTTTAAGTAAAAGTTCTTCTATAAATAATATAAGATAACATTTTTAAAATCCTTAAATTATAGTTAATGCTTTTTGTAATCAATTTTTTTCTTTTCTAAAAATATTTATTTAATGCATTGATGAATTAAGAGTGATAAAAATAATATCTTAACCTACAATATCTAAATCAACGGAGTTAAGAGTATTTTTTAAAGTATTTACTACTGCTTTTTAATTTTTCTACTTGCATGTAATATTAAATCACTTTATGGTATTCTAAAGTTGTTTATGATTATCTTTTGTACTTCAGAACTTATTGTATGCTTTGCCATCCAGGATTTGTTCCATCTTTTGAAATGGGTATCTTCATGCTTGAGATGTTTTTTTGTTTCTTCTCTAAGATTTTTCTACTAATTTGTTCATATTCTCTTGGAATTTATTAAATTACGTTTTGATATAAAGGTCACTTCATACTTTCTTGTCAAAAAGTTATTTATTTCTTTAACTCAAATGATCTATAAACAATATTATAATTTAACAAAATAAGATACTACAAAAGCATTTAAAGCAAGGTAGCATGTTTTCTAGAAAGATGAATTATTTCAATAAGAAGGCATTCTATGGTTTCTATTTTTAAGGATTAAAATTTAATTTAATCAAAAAAAGAATAGACCAATTCTACAATCTAAAATCTTGGTAACTTTCCTAAAATCTATATAAGGTAGTTCTTGGCTTTTAAAGAGAATATAATGCATAATGGATATCAATATGTAAATTGACTTGGCATCTTTATGTATTAATTGCTAATATTTTATGCTAAATAAGCCAAATAAACTTAGTTTTTTTTTTTTTTTTACAAGAGTAGAACAAAAACTAGATGTTATTACATTTCAAAGAGAATTATAATCTAATAAGATATATATATTTTTTTTATTGCATTAATAATAAGAATGTATTTTTGAAATAATATTCTTTTAAGTTTAGCAAAGTATCTCATTAATTCTTCACTTATTGTCTAAGAGCACAATTTAAGATTAAGGTTGAGTTTATAGATCAAGGTAAAGATTAAATTAATGTCATTTAATTTAATTTTTTTTGACTTGTTTCTAATCCACTTGAATAATTTAAAAATTAAAACAAACCATATGATTTTCTATATCAATTAGAATTTGGTTTTCTTGATCAAACAATAGTCACTCATGAAAGTGAAGGATTTTGGATTAGACACATATCAAGAATATTTTAATTCTAGTAGATTGAAAAAATAAAAACCATTTATCTTCTCTAAATCTTTTATATTGAATAATAATTTAGAAGATTGTTATAGGTAATTGGTTATTTTTTCCAATATTCAGATCAATCTAGTCTTGGAATTTAGATAAAGACTTGGCTTATTGAAGTAAGATTTTTCAAGTACTAAAATAATAGTAATGTATAAATATCAATATATATATATATATATATATATATATACATATTCAATGATATTTATAAGTTAGTATTTAGCTTTAATTTATTATGTAGTAAATTTTTGATTCTTTAGAGGCTGTTTGAGTATAAAATTGCACCTTGGTCAATAAGTCAATAAGAAGAAAATAAGAAGAAAATAAGAAGAAAATTTATAAAATATAATCTTTGGTTAAATACTTCTAATGGAATATATATTCAATAAGAAGAATAAGAAGAAGTCAATAAGAAGAAAATTTATAAAATATAATCTTTGGTTAAATACTTCTAATGGAATATATATTCCCTTCTTATCTTATTTCAATGTAACATCATCTTTGAATTGTAAGGTGGCCTATGTAAAATTTTCTCAAAGAGTCTACCAAAAAATTCTTGACTAACTAAATTGTAGGAGTATTACAAATAGGCCGTGTCAATGTCCAAGAATTTATCAGATTTAAAATGATCAATACTAAATTAATTGTTGTAGAACAATTGTTGTCGAAATTTGTACAGACATTACTTCAAAATAGCATCATTAATTCGAATACATAATTATAAACAAAAAAATAATTTAAATAGAATATTTTAATTTTTATGGATTAATATTTTTTGAATAACTTTGGCATATATTACATATGTGGTATTTAATAAGGTAATAGGCCTCAAATTCCTTGCATAGATTTGTCTTCTCATTTATAAAATAAATTGAAAATATTTTTAATAATAATTTTAGAAAAATTAATTCTAACTAATGCTAAAGTAATTATTATTATTATGTACAAAAAATGAATTATAAATCTTCTTTAAAATTTTCTTATAATTATTTTTTAAAGAAAAATTATTCTTTAAAATTTTATTATTTAGTTATTCTATCATTTGTAGATTTACAAAAGTTATCAAC